TCTTTTTGAAAGCAAGTGACAAGGACCTCAACGTCAAAAATTAACAGTGACTTTGTTCAAAATATGAGTGAAATTGGAACAAATATGCATGGGTTAAGTAGTAGAACTCAGCTGAGCTCAAGAGTCTGGAGGTAAGGATTCAACGAATCAGACATGCATTATAGATTGAAAAAAATCATGATTTCTCAATGAAACCAAAGACCAAATTATAAAGTACAATGATATTCAAAACCACTAAAGTCATCCAACTCATTCGATCATGCCGTATAAGGCCACCTTCGTTTAAGGAAGTGTTTATATACCAAATATCCACTATCCTCTCAAATGCATTATTGTCAGATTGGGGTAAGTGGATATAAAGAATTCTTAGCAGGCCAGTAATACTAAAACTAGAACTTTGATTTGACAAAATTATCCTTAAAAGGTGTCCATTAATTAACATTAATACACTGGCCACGGTTAATTTCAGTAAAATTTGTAATTGTCCGTGTGCAGTTCACTGATTATTTGTCTGATATCATGATTTTGGATTTTTTTTTTAATGGTTCTTAGTGGAAATATAATGTACTTCACTACACCGAAATATACCCTCCTTACTAATCGTCGACATATTTTATGTAATTTATCTTTTGTTCTTTTAGACGATTACTATTTTAAATTGCACTCTTCCTAGAAACTCAAGGAACTCGTCTTAACAAGTTAACCTACAGGGCACCCTTTATACAAATTTCATTTGGAGGAAGAAAGTCAATTTTACAGCAATTAATGAAACAAAGAGACGTCTTCCCTCCTCCGTGTGCACTATTTTTGTCATTAAAAAATATAACTCTTTTTTTTTATAATAAAATAGAATAATTTTATTAATCAGGAGATCGAATCTGCAACAAGTGCAGGACAAATAAAAGATGGAGGAGAGTCTCTCCATATACAAGAGTCTGCAAGATTAATACCATACTTGGCAAAGTTATGAGCTGGAACATTAAACGACCTAGGAATCCATGAAACTTCCCAACACATGAAATCTTGACATAAGACAATGGTATCATCAATCAACAAGCCACATGATGAATCATCAGATTCCAAACACTCTAGCATTTTGATGACTTTTTGTGAATCTCCTTCCAAAACGATCTTATCGAAACCCAAAGATTGCAGTAGCTGAGTAGCATGTTTGGCCGCATATGATTCAACCACATTTGGTTCCAATATCCCAAGAATTTTCTTGGAGAGGCCAGCAATGAAACTTCCTTTATCATCCCGGATAATGACACCAACCCCTGATGATTTATCCTCCAGAAACACAGCTCCATCAAAGTTCGCCTTAACAAAACCTGCTTTGGGTCGTGTCCAATGACCTATCGATAACCTTGATTGGGGAGAGGCAAGTGTATGGCACTTATCTTTGGAGTTTGCTTCATGGAATTGATTTAGGAATGCTATGGATAGGGAGACCAAGCTCAGAGGATCTCTGTAGGGCCCATCAAAGGTTGCTCCATTCCGATTATTCCATAAATTCCAAAGAATAACCCCCGCCAATTCCATCTCTTTGCTTGATAGTCGCAAAAGCTGGTTGGGAAGCTAAGACGTAATCTGATCAGCCGATTGCAGTTGAATTTTCTGGCTTAAGAAACTAAGCGCCCACGTTTGCACCGCTACAGGACAAGTTAAGAAGGTATGATCCACATCATCAACTGGAGCGAGACATAACAGGCAAGAGGTATCTAAATGGAGCCCTTTAGTATTGAGTTTTGTGCTGGTTGGCAGTATATCTTTACATGCCCTCCATAAGAAAATTTTAATTTTCTCAGGAAGCTTCAAGTGCCAAAGCCGAGCCCAAACACTTTGCTTTAAAGCACTACTACTTGATGGCAAATTCTCCCAATTAGAAGATCGCTGCTTGATCAAGTGATATGCACTCTTCACAGTAAAAGATCCATTCTTTGAAAAGTGCCAGATGAGCTTATCCCTATTGTGAGAGTCTCCAATTGGGATGCTTTGAATTAATTCAGTCTCCTCAGGCCAAAAAATTTCCTGCAATAAGTCAACTCGCCAAGTCTTTTGCTCCCAGTCTATTAGGGAATCAACTGTGGAATTCTCGGGCAATGCAGTAGACCGTGACACGATCTTAAAAGTAAATGGCCGTGGAAGCCACCTATCTGACCAGATTTTGATAGACTGGCCAGAACCAACTCGCCATCTGCTTCCTGCCTCAATATACTTCCTGACCTCACATAGTCCGCGCCAAGACCAGGAAGGCCGCGATCCTTCCTGAGCTTGGAAGAAATCAGTATTGGGAAAGTATTTAGCTTTATATACCCGATGAAGAAGGCTAGATGGTTGTGTAGCAATACGCCACGCTTGCTTAGATAACAATGCGAGATTAAAAGTCTTAAGCTGCCTAAAGCCCATTCCTCCATCTTCCTTTCGGTTGCAAAGTTTATCCCAACTAACCCAGTGAATCGGCCTAGCCTTATTTCCATCACCCTACCAAAAATTGCTCATCATTGATTGGATATCCATTAGCAAAGAATCTGGAAATTTGAAACAAGACATCGAATATGTGGGAATTGCCTAAACAACTGCTTTCAACAACACTTCCTTTCCCCCTTTTGATAACCGTTGTTCATTCCATCCTTGAATTCGTTGCCAAATTCTATCCTTGATAGAAGAGAATACCTCACGCTTGGAGCGTCCAATAATGGTGGGAAGACCAAGATATTTTTCATGTGCAACCACTTCTTTAATATTTAGAAACTGAGTGATATCTTGTCGGGTTGAGAAATCTATGTTACTACTGAAAATCACAGCTGATTTCTCAAGATTTATCTCTTGCCCAGAAGCTTCCTTATATAGTTGCAAGATATCCTGAATATGTCGAGCTTCCTGTAGGGTCGCTTTGCCAAATAACAAAGTATCGTCTGCAAATAATAAATGAGAAAGCTTAGGGCCACTCTGACCTATTCGTACTCCTGACAATTTACCACAAGCCTCTGCTTCTTGCAATAGACAGGAAAAAGCCTCTGCACATATAAGAAATAAATACGGAGAAATTGGATCGCCTTGTCTAATGCCCCGTTGTGGTCGTAAATAACCAAATTGAACACCATTCAGCTGAAAAGAATAAGAAACAGTAGAGAAACAACTGGAAATAAGATCAACAAACAAAGGATGAAAACCTAAAGCCAACATCATTCCTTTCAGAAAAGGCCACTCAACCCTATCAAATGCTTTGCTCATGTCTAATTTAATAGACATGGATCCCTCCCTGCCTGCTGACTTTGATTTAAGAGAGTGGTTAACTTCGTAAGCAATCAGGATATTATCTGTAATAAGACGACCAGGAAGAAAAGCAGACTGAAAGGGTGAGAGAATTACTGAAAGAACTTTATTTAATCTATTGGCTATAACCTTAGAAGCTAATCTATAAATTACATTACATAGACTAATCGGACGAAACTGAGTGATATTGGATGGGCATTGGCATTTTGGGATAAGCACAATGTAAGTGAAATTCAATTGATTATCAAAATGCCCGTTGTTCAGGAATTCAAGAACACATTTCACTACATCCTGACTAACAATATGCCAAAATTTCTGATAAAATATTGGGGACATGCCATCAGGACCGGGAGATTTAAAAGGATGCATTTGATTTAAAGCTTGTGTTACCTCAGAGGTTGAGTAAGTTCGCAGAAGCGAATCATTCATTCGTCTAGATACCTTGGGGTGCACCCTTTGCAAAACTGCATCAATTATCTCAGGAGATGGCTTTGAACTGGAAAAAATAGATCCAAAATGGTCTAAGATAATGTGCTCCAGATCATCATGGGAGTTACACCACTGCCCCGCATCATTGAAGAGGCCATTTATCTGATTTTGCTTCCTTCGCTTGGATGCCTGTGCATGGAAAAAAGCTGTATTCCGATCCCCCTCCCGATACCAGTGAGTTTTGCTCCTTTGCTTCCACATAGTATTTTCCCGATCCAAAATGGCCTCTAATTGACTTGTTAAAGTCCCAATGTGAGACTTAACAGCATCAGAGAGAGTCCCCTGCTGTAGCTTAGCAATCTTTTTCCTTAGGTCGTCTGCTGCAGAACAAACATTACCAAATTTTGATTTGCTCCATTGTAAAAGGCCCATTCGACATTTATCCGTTTTCTTGAACAAATTAACACAAGCATTATCCGCAGATGTACTCTCCCAAGATTGACGAATTACGTTTTCACAATCATCCGCCTTTATCCACATGGCTTCGAACCTAAAACGTCTATGTCTCTTCGCCTCATTTGTAGTCTTTGAAGATTTAAAGAAGTTCTCGAAACTAAAAACTAGAGGCAAATGATCAGAGAATATAGAGTGCACATGCTTGAGTTTTGAATCAGGGAATAAGTTCACAAAATCTTGATTTGCACAAGCGCGATCAAGTCTCGCTCTAATTGTCTTTGGATATGTCCGACTATGGCACCATGTATAAGTGAAACCTTCATAGCCCACATCATGCAGATTACTATCCATCAAGGCCTGACGAAAATGCATGATTTGCTAGTTATTTCGTGGACCAGAACCTTCAAATTCGCTTTGGCTGAGGACCTCATTATAATCACCAATACAAAGCCAGGGGAGCCGAGATTGGGAGCTTAGTTGGCGAAGAGAGTCCCAGGAATATTTTCGCTTTGAAGCATCAGGGTGTCCATAGAAGCCAGTTAAACGCCATGTGTAATTTGGCATATGAACATTGGCATCAATAAAATTACTTGCGAATCGGTTCAATGATATGTCAAGATCTTTTTTCCACAGGAGAGCTAACCCACCAGAGGTGCCCTGCGCATCCACACCAATACCAAACCATCCAAATTGTTGCTTCAGTTTCTCCACGAAACTACTAGAGCACTTAGTTTCTATCAAAAAAATAACTGAAAGTCTTTCTCTCCGGATAAGACTCCGGAGTTCATGAACTGTGCGGAGGTTTTTCAACCCCCGACAGTTCCAACTTAAAAGCCTCATGGCTCTTGGCGGGGCTGGTAACCAGCCTCCGCCGTTGAAATACCGTGTGATGCAGTTGAACCAGATCTCCTAGATTTCTTGGAAAGAGAAACATCCTCCATATCAACATCATCAGAGAGGGAAAAATTATTAGGACGTTTCACCTTGTTGCCTAATAACCTTGTATGAAAAGTCTGTTCCATAGATGACATCAAACCTGATTGGGGACTGTCAGTGCTCTTTCTCCGTTTGAATGTACTAGCCAGAGCCCGGAGATTATGGATATCCGAATGTTTTTTGTGCTCTCTTAGGGGTGCATCAACTAGGAAGAGTTTCGCTGTTTTGAGAAGTGTGGAGGAGCTGCCTGTAGTTGGGGTATGTTGTAGGAGTTTGCTGGGTAAAGTTGGGGAAGTAGTTGGGAGGGTTGGATTAGGGGTAGGGAAATTGGGATTTATGTTTTCAGATGGTTGGGTATGCGCAGGAGTGGAGTTAGGATTATTGGATGTTGTATGAATAGGCAGCTCAGATGAGGAGGGAATGGGGTCAGAAATTACGGAGGGTATAGTAGGGACAATAGCTTGTAATTGGCTACTCCTGGGTTGAGTGAGAGTCAGATTTGGCAATTGGCTTGAGGTAGGAAGAGAAGCAGAGAATTTGTCCTGAATTATTTGGGCTTCTGGTTGGACTAGCAGAGTGAAAGAAGCTTTAGGTGCTTTGTTTCGGGTGTTGGTTTGGACTGGTATGTTGTTATCCAAAGGGGCAGACAGTCTTGGTTTATTGTGCGGTGTAACGGGGAGGCGAGAAGAGTCATCGGTGGGCTGGGTTGAAGAGGCAGGGGATTTTTTGGTTGTCCATTTAGCTGTTGTATTCCTTGCATTGGGTTGGGTAGGATCCGTAGTATCAGAGGTAGAGGCAGAAGATTTACCTTTGATTAGGTCCTGATGTCTCTCCAGATCATTATCCAAAGGGTCGGATTGGGTATGATCAGAATTTGAAAATTCAAGGCAGTCAGGTGATGAGGATGCAGTTGATCTCTTTCCCTTATCTGTTCCTTGTCGCACGCGATTCTCATTATCGCTTATCGTTACAGCTGGCCGAGAGCGTTGTTGGCCGGAAAATGATTTTTCCGTTTTAGCTCGAAGCCATCCTCCATATTGCGGATCCCCAGTGTCATAGGTTGCTGCATCAAGCTTCAATTCACAATCCCGATCGCCGTGGCCAATTCTTCCACAGTAGAAGCATAATATAGGAAGCCTTTCATATTGAAAGAGCACCTTATGTACTTTGCCTTCAATGAACAGATGCATTACTCGCTTAAGAGGAGATTCTAGGTGAATCTTCACACGGATACGCAGGAACTTTCCCCAGGCAAACAAGTCACCTCTTTGTTCAAAGCCTTCATAGACCCCTAACTTATTTCCCAGGTATTCTGCTGTTTTGGCATTCATCCAACTCAATGGAAGATTATATACACGCACCCAAAAGGAGCAGGTATCGAGTTTCATGTTGGTTGACTGGACGTTGCCGATATAATCACTGATGACCAGTAGATTATCATCAAAACACCATGGGCCACCAGAGAAAACTTTTTTCTTATCAAGCATGTCATTAAACTTAAAAAGAAAAAGGTTATCCCCCAATGAAGTGTGGGTGAGACCCTTGGATGGGTTCCAAACCTTCTTCGTAGTAGCCATCAGCGCTTCACCATTGAATTGCTTTCTGGTAAATAGTTTGCCTAAGATGCACAACTCGCTGAGAGAATCATCAATATCGTCCGCATCGCCCGGCAATAAATGTACTTCTTCTTCATCATCCCGAAGGCGTAGGTTTTCACACATTCTTTCCAGTTCTTCAGCCATGGAAGCCGGGACAAATGATACAATCTCGAAAGGAGCACAAAAGGTATAGGACTGCTGAATGAATCACATTCTGCAAACCTGCATGACCCAAAGACAATGAAAGTTTTATTTTCGAAAAAACTGAAACCCAAACAGAGAAAACTTAATTCACGGAGAAAAGTATGACAAACGGGAATCCAATTGAGTGATAGCTGGGATGCAAACTGATTGAAGATAGAATAGATTAGTTGTTTGGGGAGGTTAAAACAGGGACAGAAAGTGCTGAACTTCCACTAGGAACTAGGGAAGAGAGCAGCCTGCACTAGCAGGGAGAAAACCCACAGAGAGCAAAGCTTCTCATGGGAGACCCCCAAGTTGAAGACTAAAGAAGCATGTTTCCAAAACCAGAATTCTGAATTAACTCAGAATTCTGAATTGACCAAGATCATCTAACATTTCCTTTTCTTAAAAAGAAAACATTGCACAAAAAATATAACTCTTAAACACTTAGAATTTGCTGATTCGCAACAAACTTTACCGTAAACTTTTCCTCTTGACCTTATCTTATCCATTACACAATCTATATTCATAAAAATTTTACTGCAAGAAGTGACTTCTTTTCATCAAACTTTCTTTTTAATTTCTAGAATTAGAATGGATTTGTGATCATCTACACTGAATAAATAGAGATATCTAATTTGACCTACCACTTTCTTTTAAAGTACTAAAAGCAATTAGGATTGTATACTAAAAGCTAATGAATTTCAGAAAACGAAAGTTCATTATTATATTTAGGCTAATGAGACTGACGGATTTTCAATATAGGTGCAAGGTAAATCCAAAATATATCCGTTTGATTACAAATATACAGGTATTAAAAAGGGCATAAATCAAGTAGATCCCACAAGGAGCCAATAGTGCAAGTACTAGATCCTTACTTATTCTATTATTTAGAGTAATTATCAATAGAATCTAAAGAAATCACAATTACTTACTAACTAACTTACTCAACTAGATAACTTGCAAGAAAACAATGGAAAAAATCCACTAAATACTTGAGGCTAGGGTGTAGAATGCACTTATGGCATAAAAGATACAAGTGAATAAATTTACCTCTTGTTACTACTCTTGTTTAACTAAGGATTCATTTCCAAATTTACCAAAACTTATTCTCATGATGTAGTGGCTTAGATTAGACTAGTTTTCTCTATTCTCATGATGAATAACCAGATCTACCCTTTTGTTCTTCATGAAATGTAAGGATAATCCACTTAAGTGCATCTCTCTTCTCATAAGTCTACTTCTTAAACTCCATTTATGTTATTCCATCATTATTACTAATTTTTATTGAATAACAACAACCAAAAATTTGCTATTGGTGATCAAGAAACAACAAGTGATAAACATGCATAAATGGATAAGTTAATACAAGAGGTAACAAGTCGTATTCAACTCATATCCAATAGCCACAAGGTTCATCTACTATCTAGATCTAGAAATTTAGCTACTCATGTGATATAAGATAAGAAAGAACATAACTTCATTGCATAAACACATAATAAATCACAAGTAAAGAGATAGATAAAGAAAGATTAGCCAAGATGCTGAACAAGCTCCCAAGATCTTCTATTTGTTCAACAAATGAGTTGTACAATGAAGTCTCCAATTGTTTCTTACAAGCTTCTAACTAGAGAGAATAAGAAAAGGCTATAACTAAGCTCTCTTCCTAATAACCAAGAACTCCTCTCTATTCTAATGATTCTTACATATATAGTATTAAGAGAGTCAAACAATGTCAAATGAAATGACGTAAAGCTTCCTTTTCACTTCCCTAAATATTCTTAAGCATGTGTAGCCGAAATTTTATGCTGGAATTGAGTTAGAAAGTGGTGTAAAATAGGGCAAGTTATAGAGCAAGTTGTAGAGAAATAGGGGAGAATATGCAACCTAAGCTCGCGTATTCAGAGATCACGTTTTCTTTTCAGTGACGTTTCCTTAGTTTCTATTCCAATTCACTACTAGGATCACAAGCAAGTAGCCTGATAAGTGACTAATTTACGTAATAATTGTATGACATTTTATATTATTTTTAGTCACTTTGGTTATATTATTGGAAGAATATGAATCATTTTGGCTATAATTGGTGAATAAATGTTTTTAAGTGATTAAATGAGGTTTTTATCACTTTTTACTTGGATTTTGTGTATTTTGACAGTTTTGACACATTTTCGTATTTCGGCTATAACTTGAGTTACAATGATCGGATTGGGATGATTCTTGAACCCATTTGAAGATAAGAGATAGATCTACAACTTTGGTGAAGACATCTAAATCCAGTTTGAAGGTTTTCCAGGTCAAAATGCCGAATTACAATAGCAAATTTCTACTGGTCGAAGCTGGAACAGGGTAATGAGCAGGCAAGGGTATTTCAGTCATATCTCAGCCTACACAGATCCAAATGAGGTGATTCTTGATGCATTAGAAAGATAACTCAAAAGGCTATAACTTTTGTGTTTTAGACATGAGCTGGTTCAGCCTCTAACATCAAGAAAAGATTGGTTGAAGTTGGGACAAAAACAGAGCAAGTGATCCACACTCGGATCCACTATTCATCCGAACCCTCGGTTGTTTCTGGGTTAGTGGATCCGAGCTCGGATCCATACGGATCCGAGGTACTGTAGCAGCTCGGATCACTGGTCAGAAAAGGCTGCTCTGTACGCGTAAAACTCAATTTCACCCCCACCAACTCACATGCGATGCTATACATGTGAGAAACATTCCCAACTGTAAAAGGGAGATGTAGGCCTCATTTCTTGACCACCTTTCATCATAAAATAGCCAAATTCATTGCAAAAAGAAAAAAGGGAGTTCATAGCAGAAAAATGGAGAGTGAGCTACGGGAGAAAGCTTGAAGCTGCAGAAATGTAGTTTTTTCATCTCCCTAGTGTTAGTTTAGCTTAGTATAGAGTAGTGTAGCTTTTCCATTCTTGTTTATTATCTAGATTAGGATGAAGATGGAGGATGAAGAAGGCAAGGAAGAAAGCTCATGTGACAAGGGTTGTATTCCTTCCAAACTCTTTATCTTTTGTATTTGATTCCAAGTTTAGTTAATATACAAGTTCTGGATTTTGTGTTCAATATGTGTTTCTAAAGTTTATACCTTGGGTTTGGTTGAACTTTCTATAATTGTTAGTGTTTATTATTTGGTTATTTGACTGCTATGATTTGAGCAAGTTATTTAGCACTTTAGCTCTTGAAATCATGATTAAATCTGGTACCATTAATTGTGATTATCTAAGGTGTTGTTTCTGCAATGAAAATTGAGATTTAACACTAGTTCAAGAAGTGCTAAACATAGGGAGTACACTCACGAAAGTAGAGGTGCACTTATGTGGTTTTTAGTGATTCATTTCATGTAATTTCATTGAAGAAATGAACTTGTAGCTAATTTCATAACCATGAAATAGGTATGGATTAGTTATGAGTATAATTGATTCACTACGAAAGTAGGATTCAAATGCATAAGGAATTACACCATAATTAGCCTAGATGTAGTATATCAATGATCCAAATATAGCACTTGCATGAGTAGTTAGGGATACCACAACCCAAGGAGCTTTCATTTGTTATTTTGTATAATTTCAGTAGGTTTAATTTGTTATAATTCATTGATAGTCTAAATAATAGAGAAGCTTTAGTAGTACCGGTAATTGCAATCTTCCTTGTGGGATCGACCCTTAATACCCTATACTCGCTCACGATTCGTATACTTGCGATAAATCGCGTGTGGGGTATTTAGGAGTTTATAAATGTAAAACTTGATTAGGATGAGCTTAATTGTATATGTATACTCCGCGCACGTCAAGTTTTTGGCGCCCTTGCCGGGGAAGATTTGGCAATATCGGTGTGAAGAATAACTTTATTAGTTTAGACATTTTATTAGTTATTGTGTGAATGTTATTTTCTGTCATTTTAGTATTTTTTATGTGTATGTGTTTTATCACCTATTCTTCTTACTAATTTTGCTCTTAAGTTGTTTAAAAGCAATTTTAGGTGATGAGAAGGGTAGGACAATTTGGAGGACAATGCTTGAGAAGTGGAAGATTGGTAATGGATGGTTACCAAGTGCAAAGCTCCTTCAACAGAGGTAACCAAGAATTTACTGAATGTATATCTTTTGAAGATGGTTTAAGGTGCTTAAAGGCAAAATTTGATGTAATTAAGTTACAAGTTCAAATGGACACCATGATGCATGAAATTGAGTAAGGGAGGAATGTTAATGCTTTCAATTCTTATCATGTGATTTGTGACTTGTGTGGAGGTTATCATGCTATTAATACATGTATGCAAGCACAAAATGTGGATTATTATGATGAATTAGAGCATTACAATCCTTGTTTTGATCAATATAGTGCTAATTGGAGCAATTCTCCTGCTTATGGTTGGAATAATCAATGTACTTATAGTGATAATTCATATTTTTATGATCACCAACCTGAAAGTGTCCAATATGAATCAAAACCATCTTGGGAGTTGGCAATAGAAAGAGTAGCTAATGATTCTAAGTCATCTTGGGAGTTAGCTTTAGAAAAGCTAGCAAATGCAACTTCCGACCGTTTTGATAGGATTGAGGAAAGAATAGATGAATTAGCTTCTCACTATGGTAGAATACATGAGCAATTGAATGTATTGTGTGAAGTTATTTCTTCTAATAATTTGCAAAATGATCCTAGCATGAATCGTGGAAATGTTGTATGTGAAAATGGATTGCATTTGGATGAAAATGATGAATCTCAATTATATTTCAATGAGCAAATATCCATTTCACATGATAATACCTTTGAAACTAACTTTGAGCCTCAAGAGGTGAGTTTTAATGACTCATTTTTCACCCCTCTTGAGGAGTGCATTGAAAGTATAGGTTCTAAGGGTATTGCTGCCCAAGATACTCTCATGACATTTCCTTTGGTAAATTCTCAAGTGGTGCATATTCAAGGTAATATCTATGAAACACTTGGAAT